AATTTTTTTTTTTTTTTTTAATTATTTGGTTGGAGTTATCAGAATCAATATAATTATGGACTTTCCTAAAACAGAAGTAAAGAGCATTGTATGTATGACAAATGTATGTATAAGCTGTATTTTATGTATGAGCATTGTATGTATGTATGTATGTACTGTATGTATGTATGTATTTATTGTATTGTATGTACGTATTGTATTGTATGTATGTATGTATTTTCTCTATTGGCCAGTGGCAAACGTTGGTCAATAAAAAAATGTTGGTTTTTATTTTAATATATTCTATTTTTTCTTTATATTTCTATTTTGTCCTGGTCTCTGGTGTCCAGAAGCCTTAAACATGTTGGTTGACTTATGATCCACAAAAAAGAAAAAAATTCATAAGATTAAATTAATTGAAACTTATTGTTTTTGAGCTCAAAGTCCCACAATCTTTGCTGCCATTATGCCAAAGGATCAAAAACTTTTAAATTTTACTTTATTAGAAGACCATATGCTTTTTTATATTTTTAGAGCTCCTGGATACTAAAAACTAGGAAAAAGTAATCTTTTTGTGTCTTTCAAACCGCGGTCCTTTTTGGAACTTTACATCCCTGAGTAAAAATGAATAAATAGGGGGAGGAGGTCCTAATAATTTTAGGTTGAGTAGGAAAATTTTCAACTTCTTGAGTAGGAACATCAACTTCTGTGTATTAAGCACTTACAAGTACTATCTTATTTTGCCTTTCATTTTCATAATTGTTAATGTTTCATAAATGTTTTATATCTTACAAATTTAAGTTAATTTGACCATGTTTATTTTTTTTTTGTTATGAAAAAACCTCTCCAGTTCTTTGTAACAACTTTAACTAAACTATTCAGGACAAAGTTTGAATAATTATATCTTTAATTACTTTTGGTATGTAAATGGTATAAATTTGCTTTTGTAATAAATTGGATACACTTAACTTAAATAGTTCATCTTTAATCCAAAAACTAACTAAAGCAAATATTCGTTCTCATTCGTTTTCATCAGGCGGTCAGAAAATTAACTATTTTGTATTTCTTTGCTGCTAAAACAAACTAATTTTGGTGTTCTTAAGTTATCTAGTTTACAGTCAAAGTAGTTTACAATCAAACCTGTATAAATTAGAATTAAAACAGTGGCTAGGTGAACTTAATTATGCAAAATAGAAGATTTTATCCCAGTATCTAATAGCATAGTTCAAAGTAGACTACTAGTATTTAGGTTAACACCATCTAAATTTTGTTATAGTAAATATAGTATTTTAGATTTCTATTCACATAAATAGGTGAGGTTTAAGCTAAATCACAGTTTAAATCTACATTGTCTTTGGTACAATAATGTATATGGAATTAATATCAACAATCAATAAAACAAAAACCTAAGTAAATAAAAATTTCAAATAAAAAGCAAATCTGCTTTTGTCTAAATTTGATTTGAGATTTAATTTAAAACTGATAAGATTAATCACAGTTTAAGAGTTCACCATTTCAGTTTACTAAGCTACGAGAAAGTGATTTAAATTGTAATACTTATAAAAAATATAAAATATTGTAATACTTATAAAAAACAAAGTTATTGATCTAACAAATATAATGTTACTAAAATATATTATAAATAAGTAGAGAATAGATTTAATTTCACTATATATTTATTCTGATATTGTCGTAATAATAATTGTATAAGTAATTTTTATTGTGTAAAATATTACTCAATTTCCAAGTTATTTTCTAGTTATTCTGATTTTAAAATCACAAGACGCAGATTTTTTTAGATGTTTTTAATTTAGCTTACTTTTACCTTAGGTTTTTTTAAAACGCTTTTTTGTTTATCTACAAGTTATATGGCTTTTTTTTATGCACCAAAAAACAATTTGATGAAATTATTATATTTATAAATTAGTTTAGTTTTTCTCAAGCAGAGATAAATACCTTTGTAAAGAGATTTTTGTTTTTAAATTAACTTGTGTTTGCTTTGACCAGATCTCAATTTGTGTGTTTTAAATAAAAGTTTTGAATCTGATCACAAACCATCATTTGCAAAAGGTAGCACAAGTACATCATAGTTCAGATAAATTATTCTCAATAAATTTGTATGATGGTTTAAAGTTTATTAATTTCATTTTTTTTAGCAATTAAGACAAAAGGTTTTTTTATTGGACAAGGTTAGTTTGTTAATTCAATTAGTGAAGCAGTTTATGGACCATGAATTGATTTGGATATAAATTCTCATCCAACTTGAATTTATAGAGGATGCAAGACAAAATCATACTTTTGAACAGAATTGTAAGGCCTTCAGTAAAGATTTAGCTTTACTGATAACCTAACTAGATGATTTGTTTTTTGAATGATTGTTGTCAAAATAAAAAGTTAAGTAGAATGAAACAAGAAGATCTGCTCTTGTGGTATATGCTCCGTCGAACAAGGATAAATATATCCATTTTTTTATTGTTTTAATTTTCTATAAAAAATTTGATCTTCAAAAAAATAATTAATTTTAATTATTTTTTTGAAGATCAAAGCTTTTATAGAAAATACTATTATTTTAAAATTAGTGAATTTTTTATACTTTTTAAACAAAAATTTTTTTTTTTCTCAATCTCTTGTTTGTCACGTGTTTAACAAAAAAAAAACGTCTCTAAGCAAAAATAAAATTAGGCAAAAGAAAGTTATTTTGTGAAAGATATGGTTTATAACTGATATAAATATAAGTTTACATAATATAAAGTTTATATAATATAATTATATAATATAAAGTTTATATATATAAACATAACAAGACAAATGTCTTGTTACGTTTATATAATGAATACAAATGTCTTGTTACGTTTATATAATTTTTTATAAAGTTAGTTATATTATTTAATTTTTATTCGGTTTATTGTTTATTTATATGTAAACTGATATTAATTTACAAACTAATATATAATAATATGTATACTAATATTAATTAACACATTACAAATTCTGTTTAAAAAACATGCGTTTCACTATTTTTTTTTTTTTTTTTTTGTGGTTTTTTCATCAGGTTTATTATTACGTTATATTTAGATTACGCTAAGTTTAAATTACGTTTATAACGTCAGAAAAAATAACAGTAACTAAATTTTTTTTCATTACTTTTATTTTTCGTTTTATTTATTTCACATCATTATGCTTAATAAAATTAATAGTTTATTTTCTGTATAAAATAATGTATAATTTATTATTCGACGTGTTATCAAGCTTAAAACGTGATCTAAACGTTTTTTTTTTGTGAACTCACAAATACTTTCATTTTAAACGGTTGCGATAGTTACGATATAATTCTATAAAACTAAGCGGTTGATTTAAATTTTTTGTTCGAATTTGTGAAAAGATTTTTGTAAAGTTCGATCATCGAGTTTTATGTATATAAAACCAAACGTTTTGTTTTTTTTGGAAAAAGTACGAAATTATTCTGTTACCATTGTTTATTAACTTCACACTGGTCACAAATACTTTTAAAAATTCGTAAGTAAGTATTCTTCAGTTTTAAATTCGTTTATTTGTTTTTATTAAAAAAGTTTATGTTTTAAAACAAAATTTATATTGTTACATAACCTTAACTTACGACGACTGTTTTTCGTGTAAATTTGATGATAATAAGTATTTTTTTATTGTTGATATATTAGTTAAATTATATTATAAATATACAAGATTAAGGTGCTAAAATGTGTAAACCTTTAAATTTAATGTAACATTTTTTATAATATTTTGATTTCTATCTTTAAGCTTATTTTTTTAAATATAATATAGCAAATAGATACGTGTTTTTATAATGTTCAAACTTTTTTTATATTTAATCTCTTGGAAATGCGATAATTGAGTTTGAAAGAGTGAGTTTTTTTTTATGGAAAGGTAAATCGAAAATAGATTTAGAATATTATAAATTAAGATTTAGAAAATATGTTAAAAAATAAATCAACTTGCCTTCAAAATGTTAGTGGTGCAAAAAAAAAAAATGCATATTTATAAACCTTGAAAAAAATTCTTTTATGAAGTATAAGGTAAGACCTTCGTCACAAAAACTCTACGCTACAAAAAATATATTTTCATCGCGTAGAATTTATTGATTTACAAATTTTTACTTTAAAAAATGTTTGGCATGCTTTAGTATGCAAAAAAACTAGTACAGTATGATAATGGTATGTAAGTACCTATGCCATACTAATTTTAAAACATACTGAGCTATTATTTAATTGCATTTTTACCCGTTTATTTTTAATCGTTCGTCTAAGTTTGATATTTTAGAAAAAACCTGTTTCTTTTGCTCAAAGTTTCAGAGAAATATGATTTACATGAAACAATTGTGAATGAGGAATTATTTTCTTGTTTGCGTTGAAATGATTGTTTCATGGATTTAATTTTTACTTTTTAAAACAAAATGTCGTTTGATGTGATGTTATTGTAATTTTTAAATTCAATCGGTTTATCTTATGTTTGTTGCTTGTTTTTATATATTATATATATTACATTTTGTAGCTTTAATAATGAAATTTTGTTGATTTTGATGTGTAAATGTCTCATAATTATGAATCTTTTATGTGTGTGAACAACCGTTCTAATTTTTGTTATGTTATTTTAAATATGTTTAATTTATAACTTATATTTAAATTATTTTGTTTTAATAATATGATAAATTAACAAAATTTTAAAATTGTCTTTTTTATTATATTTTATATTACATTTTTATTTATATTTATTTTTCATATGAATTATTTTATCTAAAGGTTTCACACTTTTATTATTTTTGTATATCATTTTAATTTAATATAAATTTATGTATATAATATTATTGTATAAAATATAGTCTATTTAATAAAAAATAAAAAATTGTATGTTTTTTATTCAATCATAAATTAATAAAAATTATATGTATGAATATGTAGAATATTATATTGTATATAATGTTATAATTTTGATTATTATTTTTATTATTTGTTCATTTCTTTAATTAATATTTAATTTTACTTTAGATCGTCTAAGTAAAAGTGATGACAGAGAAGAATACCATGATTTATTTATTGAATGTTTTTATGAAAGTCAATCATCATTTAATGATGAAATTAAATCAATTGTTGATAAACGAAAGTGGTGGATTTGGATTGACGATAGAAAAACTTCTTACTTTACTTCTTGCGAAAATTATTTCATAAATCATTACGTAAAATCTGGAAGAAAGTTATCGAGGTTAATTGTTAATAAAAATATATTAAGTGATGAAGAAAAAAAACTTTTAATACAATGTTCAACTAATGTTCGCGATGTCACCTTTTATCGTCCAATTAATTTCGAAGGTTGGAAACCGAAAGATAAGATTGAAGAGTTGTGGATATGGATCTCAGATTATTTAATAACAAAAAAAGATTTTGAAGAAAATTTTCTTCCGTGGATTAATCTTTGTAAAGAATTAGATCTTTATCTTCACGACGACATTGATTTTATTAAAGAAATTTGTGAATGGATTCTTTGTTCGAATGTTAAGAAGTTTATAATCAAGTACCGTGGAAAATATTTTGAAAACCTCGATGAATTAAAAAACTTTACAACACGATAAAATATTTAATACCTTAAATATATTAAATTAAAACAATAACTATAAATAACTAATGAAATATTTAATGTATTATTTTATAATAAATACGTTTTTAAATATACAAATTAATTTTACTAGTTTATTAGATTTAATATTTAAAAGTTTAATTTTTTATTATTAAAATATTTTATAAATAATTCGTTTTCAAATATATTAATAGTTATAATTATGATATAAATTATTAAATATATTATTATAGTATATAAATTTTCATATATATTATTATTATTAATAATATTATACTTGTAAAATTATAAATTACGGTACATGATTTATTGTTGTTTTTTTTAAATATTATATTTTTAATTATTATGTTCTTAATATATAATTTTTTAAAATATATTGTTAATAAATATTTGTTTTAATAAATAATAAATGTTTGTTTAATATTTTATTTATATTAATTATTTTATGTTTTGTGATGTTTAAGAATTAAATTAAAAAATCTAAATATGCAAATTAAAATAAAATGTTAATTTTTTTTATTTTATTATCAATTTCTTTACAAATAATATCGTATTTAAGATAAAGTCATAAGTTTTTAAGTTGATTGAATTTTGAATAAAACAACTTGTTTTATTAGATTTGCATTTTTTATACACCTTTTATACAAATTTATGTTTACAAAAAAATAACTTTTCAAGGTTTTCGCCATTGTTTCTTGATCAAGAAACAAAGGCGAAAACCTGATCTCTTCAATTGAAGAGATCAACAAAATAAAAAAATTCGTCGTCAACAAAATAAAAAAATTCGATGGTTTAGTAGAATTTTTCTTCGAAGATTTTTAGTTCGAAATTTCATATTTCATCTGACGTTTTTACTTAATTTTAAACCGACTTTAAATTTTACTTTAACGATAAAATTTTTTATATAAAATGTTAATAAATATTGAAACAAATATTTTAAGTAAAAATACTTTTTTTTAAATGGTTTTCAATTTTTTTGTAAAAAGTTTTGTTCTCTCTCTCCATAAGTAGCAGTTTTAAACCGTGATTTTAATTACCGAAAACTATAATATTTAGAAAATATAGTAAAAAAACAATGAAAGAATTTAAACTACTTTTTAAGCTAGAAAGAATTAAATAAAAACCAACTAAATATTTAATCTTTTTTAAAAAAATTCAGTTTCAAGTTTAGACTAATAAACACCGCGTTTAAATGTTTCTAAAACCGCGAATGAAACTTTATTAAACGATCGTTATAAAAATAAGCAAAAAATAATTTGAGTACGCAAGTCTTGATTTTCAAAAGTTACGCGAACATTTTCAATGCCAAAGAGATAAATGTTGGTCTTATGTTACGTTAAGGCCATTTGTTAACAAAACTGCAGCTAGCAAGTACTGTGACAGTAAAACCACAACTTTTTTGAACAAATTTAGTCATGTTGAATAAAAACAATATAAATAAGTGAATACTTTTTTATAATTTAAATATAAAAAACTATTTTAATTCAAAAAATCTTTAAAATTCTGTTTTTAATGTACGAAAAATTCACGTTTTAAAATCTTTTTTAAATTTTGAAACTTATAAAAAACATAAAAACAAACTATGTGGCTTAATGTATGGATATATTAAATTCCCGTTAACCAACCATGTCATGATTGTTGTTTATAATGGCAGTTTAAATCGTGACATTAAACGCAAAAATAAGTTTTAAAGAATAAAGTAAACAAAAATAACTCTTGTAAACAAAATCAACTGTTGTTCATTTTTTAAAGGTTGTCGGTAAAATGCGAACCGCGAACTGCGGACCGGTAAAATGCGAACCAAAACATTATATTTTAAAGACCATTATTGTTAAGATAAAAATAATAATAAAAAAAACTCTCCAACTCTTAATTATTTTTTTTAAAGTTTTTTTTAAAATAAAATTTTTAGTTTTTAACTGTAAAACATGCGCGGAGTGTTGCTACATCGACTATCTTATAGCCTGATTCGCAATGAAGTGCTGCTACATCGACTGAGGGTTTGGTTTAGGCAGAGAGTCTATCAAATAATTAAAAAAAAAAATTGTATTGTATTTTTCTATTTTCTCTCAATTTCTTTTTATTTATTTTTAAATAATTTTTTCTCTTAAAAGTCCTTAAAATATACCGCTATATTAAAATATTCCGCTATAAACATTACATCATTAACAACGATGGTTCGCAAAAAAGTTTGCATTTTACAAGTTCGCGGTTCGCAGTTCGCAATTTATCTAGGGGGCCATCCATAAAAGACGTCATCCAAATAGGGAGGGGGGAGCGGGTCGAGTTAAAAACAACAAAAAAAGGACAAGGGGAGGGGGGAGGTTGTCAGAAAAGGACGTCACTTCATAGATATTTTATTTTAGTTTAATTAACATGGAAAACTACGTAAACATATGTTTTTATGAAGATAATGTATGAGAATATTTTTAATTTTATTTTTCAAAGGTGTAGCAGCAGATTCAAACATCATTGCGAGATGAAATAAATTTTTTTGGAGTTAAAAATAGGGGGGGGGACAGGATTTTATGACGTCTTTTTCAAGGGGGTATAGGGAAAAAGGTCAACCTGTGACAAAGGGGGTGATGGTGGTCAAAAATTGGCTAAAATTGGTGACGTCCTTTATGGATGGCCCCTAGTACCATTTTTAACCCATTCGTGACGCGTGACCCGTAAGGCGGTTTATAAAATTTCTAAACGACGAGTGACCCGCATGACGGTGCAAAAACAATTTTAAATATTTTTAAACATCTCTAGCAATTAGGAAAAACTTTAAAACTATCTTTGAATTGTAAATAATTATATTATATTATATAGATATAAATGAAATCATTTATATTTGTTTCAATGATAGTGGTGGATACTTTTTTTTTGTTTGATCAGCATTATAAAAGCTTCATTAGTTTAATATCAAAAATGATATTTCTTTTTTATTTGTTTAAGTTTACATAAAGAAACTATATATTTTTGTTAATTTTAACACAACATATTTTGATCGCGTAACTAACATAAACAATTTTATTTTTTTTAATTGTTGAATATTCTAAAAGTCAATTCTCAGACAAAAAAAAACAAGGTCTTGTTTTTCAAATTCTGACTAGTAGTTTTTATTTTATACTCTTACAATTGATCATGATTCTAGTTCTTTATTTTACGCGCAGTCATGAAGCTGTTTTTAGCTCAGTCGCGAAAGGGTTAAAATGCAAACATGAAAGAAAGCACTGAAATTAATAGGAAAAGGTCAACAATTTCAAGGTCTTAGTTATCGGCCTTAAGGCCAATAATTGAAACTAGCAATTCTGATTAAAACTCTTGTATAATTCTCACCTATAAAATATTTTATCTGTATTAATATATAATGTTATTAAAAAGTATAATGTTATTAAAAAATTAATTTTATACAAAATCACGCACTAAACAGAAACTATGAAAGTCTTTCACAGAGTTCATGCAGTTTGTTAATATCTCAGCAACTCATAGTTAATATACTTTCAATAAGAAAGTCTAATCTTTCAAGCAGGAGTATAGCGCTATGAAAACCGTCTATTGACCGTCTATATTATTTAAACTATCGCAACATTAACTCAAATAAAAGATATACTGATAAAAAAATACATGTTTTATAATCTCAAATATAAAAATATTTTATAATCTCAGTTCTTATTGTAAAAAGTAAGAAAAAAAAATACACAAAAAAATGGAAACCAATAATAAGTTTAAAAATGATCTGTTAAACTCTGACGTAAGATGCTAGCATCAGAGGGGATATCCATAAATATCTCTGTAAATATAAAGGAGGGGGGGGGGGAATTGGGTACTGAAACGTTTGACAAGAGTTGACGACGGGAAAGGGAGCACCAAAATTGAGGCCAAAATCATGTCAATTAAAAAAAAAAGTTGGTTTTATACGCGCGGATTTGAAAGGTTTTTAAATATTCAATGTGGTATAGAAATGACATATTTGTTTTGTGGGTAATTTAATGTAAGTTTATTAGAAACATAAAATAGTTTGAAAATTTACCAACTTTTTATTATTGTATTACCATTTGACTGTAAATTAAATTGTTTACAAATATTAACTATTAGTATATAAATTTAAGAATTGTAATTCGCAACTTAGCGGATTATAAAATGTGCTTTAAAACAAACGCATAAAGTCATTTTTTATTATTTCAAATACAACTGTCTTTTAAGTACATAAATAATTAAGTAATTATTTTAAGTACAAAACTTTGTTTTCTCTTTAGCGACTTGTAAAATGTGATGAAATGCAAACACATAAAGTCACTATTGCGAATACGAAACTCTAATTGCCCTAAAGCGGCTTGAAGAAGTTCTTTCAAACAGCTTACAGCAGGAGCAAAATCATCATTTTGATTGTGATGTAAGTAATACTGATAAACCAATAACACATATATGTATAAAGCAACGAATCTGGTTATGTCTCAAGAAGACAATAACAGTTTGGTTTGCTGAGAGCATTCACTACCTATTGTTACAATCGTAGATCACTTCAACTACCCGTTGAAAGATGATGAGTGATTGAATTTATATTACAGGTACAGAATAAAATTTGCTTAATTTGATTAGTTTGTTTATTATTTGACGAGATATTAAGTGTTCTATAATATTATTTGATAAGATCTACTACAAAATAAATGTATAACTTAACCAGAAACAAATCAATGCTGGTTACGCATATGCATGGTCACTTTAGGGAGGGAAGGGGAAAGAGATACGAAAACTGACATCATATATAAGGAAGGGAGGAGAAATTGGCCAGAAAAATAGCAGAGTTTGACAAGGGGAGGGGTAAAAAATTGTTAGAAATCTCATACATCATTTATGGAATGTATGCCTTAGAAAAAAAAAAAACACTTTTTAATACTTTTTAGTTTCAATATAATATAAAGCATTAAATTATTTAGTTTTCAAATTGCACGAAACTTCCAAATTAAATTTTACTATAAAAAAACAATAGAACACGATAAAAGAAATTTTTTTTTTATAGTCAAATTTTAAAAGTTTCT